AATAAGAACTTGAAAATTTTTAATCGCCATTTGTAATTAGTCGCAGTTACGTAATACATTTTGCCCATTTTGCCTGCATTTTGCAGAGAGCGAGTGATTTTTGGAACAATTAAATGAAAAGCTAGTAACGATCGTTGAAATTAATGACGTTATCGATAATGCTGCGTGTGATGGTCTTATTGGAGCTATTCGAATAATTAATTGACATTGTCGTTAATCGAGAGGGCACGGGAAATGATAATTAGTTGATTAAAAATTCGTCGGCTCAATCAAAGTCTTATAATAGCACGAGTATCTTATGATAATTCATCTCCAATTATAAATGGTCGTCTGTTATTGGACGTTATCACGGTTTAAAACAGTTTTCTCTCATAGCTTCGAGTCCAATGGCTTTGAGCTTCGCGCCTCGTGAAAAAACACACGATTATGTTTAAATATACGGAATGACCGGGCGCAGTGCAATAGTTGGCCAGTTTTACAATGCTTACGAACGAAAATAAGTTTGTTTTCAATGCGCTTGCGCTGCCCCGCTAGAGGACCATAAATCTCATAATTTCGTATCAGATCGACAAAACTAATCTCCCTGCGGAGGCGTTACGAAGCAACATGAAAGTCGTTGACGCTCGCCGTTAATAGTGAGGACCGAAATTAGACGAGACTCTTTTTGCGTTAACGCCCATCTGTACGGCCGTGCATTCTACTTTTACTTGGAAGAAAATACGAATGCTTTTATCGCGCCTATAAATTCAATTAAGCATATAAAAAAAAAAGAAATAAAAAAATTGGATGTGCGCTATGGGTGTGGCGTCGCGCAATATTGTCTTATATCAATTACTGCTCGGTTAAAGTGCACTTGGCATTTTGCAATTTGACAATAACTATCGAGACTATTTGCTTTATTTGCTTTGAAGAAGGAATAGAGCGTTATTGTAATGATTTTTTTCATTAATTTCAAGGCTCGTTTTGTAGGTTTTGATTATGAAATGTCAATTGCATCGATATGGAAATGTAAAAACGCCAGAACTCAGCGATCCCCATACGCAACATGTAATTCTATCATTTTTTTTTTTTTTTTTTTTTTTTTTTTTTTTTTTTTAAAAAAAAAAAAACCTTTTTTTTTTTTTTTGAACTCGTTCTTTACTTTATTTTTTTTCGTCACATAATGAATATGAAAAATAAGTCAATCAATTTTGTTTGGTTGAGAGTCGTAGGTTGAATTTATTTTATTCACAAGATAAATATCCTCACGTCCAAGATATTTTATCTCAAGTGGACAAATGTATAAAATTATGGCAATTGAATGAAAATATACATTTTTGTGAATTTTATTATTTTATTAATATTAATAGTTTTAGATATATTTGAACTAATTCAAGAATATAAATTAAGAAATGTAAGAACAATTTAATTCAATTTAGAGGAGGAACATGGGAGGTTCTTAATAAATTCATTTAGTGAACAGCAACCAATACCTTCCTCAAATAGGTCAAATTAATTAATTTATAAAGACATTTATAATTATATTTTTATATTAGAATTAATTAGAATTACCAAATTTTATGGCTATGAAAAATATAAATGTTCATCTATGATGTTATTATTTAGATTTTAATGGGCTTCCGTTACAAATTTAAGAAAAATTTCGTTGCTTTATAATATCAATTTCGTAAATATTTTTAATGAGCTTTACATCGTGGACTGATGTACGTTGATTGAATTGAAAATATTGTCCATCAAGCACTTAAATTTATCTGTATTGATTCACCTCTTACCCATTTATTTCGAGATAATTTAATAGTTTATAGTCTAATGTCTAGCACAGATAATTAAAACTGTCGAACGTAACAGTACAAAGAAAATATTTTATTAAATATCTTTTCTTGGAATAATTTTTTTATTATTTTTGCTTATTTTTTTCTTTTGATCAGACTATACGGGTGATTCAACGAATGATTAGAAGATGTATTCTGACATTACCAGGTATGATGCCACGTGTAAGAGTTTGTCATTCCGTAAGTAATCAATTAAGAAAGTATTCAATGAAATAATTGTGTTGCTTATATATATATATTTGTTGCTGTTGTTGTTGTTGTTTGATGCGGTATTTTATCGTGTTTTAATTAATCAATATTTTTTATATCCTTTTGAGCGTTGATTTATATCTTTCTATGAAGATAAATAATAAAACTATATATTCAATCAATTTAAACAAAATTGATGTAGTAGTTTGTATTAAATATTATTCATCTGATATTTTTGTGTGAATGCAAGGGACACTCGAGACCCCATATTTTTCAAATTTCAAGTATACACAATAGTATTTGTATACGAATGTTTAATAGTAATTATAACAATGGCAAAGACGTTTAATTAGATTAAACATTATATATATTGATAATGTGAATTTGTTATATGTACTATTGCTACATAAATGTATACAAACACATAAATGTAAGAAATTAAAAAAAAAAAAAAAAAAAAGAAAAATTATTTTATCCCATCGATACAACGATAATTAACGTTAATTTAGTTTTTAAGTGTTTGTTGGATGAAATTTTGTAAAATTAATCAAGACAAAATAACGATTGTAATACCAGGTCGAGTGCGCTTGAATAGAAATGCCAATATTCTAAAGTTATAAAGATGATATAATTATAGAATTTTACTAAAAAAAGATTAGCTGATGTATTTGAAAGGGGGATGTCTAGATAGATTAAGTTGTCGGTGAAGTTATCATTGGGGTCTTACACGCGCATTGAATTCTTTTAGTACGCACAAGGATAAAGTCATTCCTCAAGACACTTCCATTGAATTTGCTTCAGAATACACACACGTTCACTATGACAAGTACGCGATTGTACATGTAAAATTGAATGTAATAATGCGATTAAAATAAATTGCACGTCAATATCGTTATCTCTAATTCACAGGGATAATTTAAGTTCCATTTGTAATTATTTGTCAATAAAATACAAACGCCAGGATCCTGCCAATTTTAAAAGAGGTCAATTTTTCGTATGCAAACCTCCCATTTAATTTGCTTAGCTCGTAAGACATCTCAATGCGAGCTACCTTGGCAATACGTCTTGATCAGGGCAGAAAAAAAGTTTCCCCGACAACCTTTCGCTTACCTTTCAAATTCAATTGCTCCGCGCGCTTCCGAGCCAAACAAACAATATCCCCGCTCTCGTTATCAGTGTCCGCCGTCTTCCTCCCGGACGTCGCTTTCGCGATCGATAAGCGCACCCCGTCAGTCCCCATAGACAAATGAAAATAAAGAGGCCGAGGCGCATCATTCGGCATCAATGGCCGGCTTCGTCTATTTCGGTCGGCAAGTTCAGCGACTCGCGCGCAATGCGCCAGGGCTTGTTACGCTACCTTAGGGGCCGACGTCGATCGCTCCCGGGCACCGCGCCAGCCCATTAGGATCCGATCAATCCCGCCTCCCACGCGTTCCTTTCTCGCTCGCGCATACTCTCTTTTTTCTTCTTCTTCTTTTTTCTTTACGGATGTGTAGGGGAGTAGGGGGGACTGTGGTAGGAGGTGTGAGGTGTGAGGTGGGAGGTGGGAGGTGGGAGGAATGAAAAAACAGCACAAGGGATTTCAGCGCGCGCGCGCGCGCGCCTCCCAATGAGTGAATAGTCGTTGTGTTTTTGCAGTGCGCGGGTATGTGCGAGCGAGAGGCGCGTCGTCGATTTTCTTATCGGTGCGCGCACGGCCCCCAACAACATAAACATTGTCCCTGACGTCGAGCGATCCCGGCAGTCTTGGCAGAGGCCGTCGTGATCGGTGCGCCGAGCTCCTCTTCCCGTCGACTCTCCGACCTTCTCCAGCGAGCCGTCCAAAGTGCTGCGCGCGACGATAGACGGACGAGCCTCGGGTATACGTCGGCGAGCCGGGAGTGCGAGGTCCCAGGCCCCCTCGTGGGCCAGACCTTCCGATGATCGATCATCGAGAGCGGTGTCGACGTGCCGGGCAATCCGATCCGTCGTCGCACGTTTTCGAAGAAGCTCGGCGCGCGAGCTACGCCGCCTCCCCGCTTCGGTTCCTCTCCGCCACTCGACGGAGAGCCGGCGGAGCGTCCGCGTTGAAGCCCGACGGGGCACGCGAGGGTTCGACACGCGGCAGGGGACCCGGTGCGCGGAGTCAACGAGGCGCAGACAAGGCCAAAGTCGCCGTATAGACTTGAGCGTAGTTCGGCCAAGCGCCTGTCCATCGGCGCTTCGCTTACGTTCGCCGTCGCGGGGCTGGTGGCGGCTGAGCGGGACGACGGGGACATTTATCGGTTGTCGACGACGGCTACAGGAATGACCATCGGTGCGTTCCATTGAAAGGAACGACGACGACGAAGACGACGTGGAGAATTGTCTCGCATTGTAATGGAAGTCCGCGCGACGAATGTGACGTGCGATCGGAATTGTCGTCGCTCGAGCTCGTAACGTTTTATATGTTGATCGTAGCGAGCGTGGCGGGACGATTTTACGAACGGCGCCCAAGGCTTCGGGATCACCTTGGATGTTAATTTAACTTTTACGACGGAGAAATGTTGCCTCCGCTTGTATAAATAGAGCGAAAGAGGAGCAATTAGATTTATTAAGAATCCGGCGTTTGGAAACTAAAGGGACGGGGGCAATTAAGCGGGAAGAGGGAAACAGTGAGTGGGAGAGAGAGATAGATAGATAGATAGATAGATAGATAGATAGAGAGAGAGAGAGAGAGATAGAGAGTAAGGGAGCGAGCGCTAGATGACATTAGAAAGGGTAAAGAACGGCATCGGATGTTCGTTTTTCAGACGGGACGACATCGCAGTCCGTGGCGGCACCCGACAAAAGTCCCATCGGCGTCAGTTAATGACGGGGCGGAACGCGAGGCGGAGGACGCGGAGTAGCTCCGAGCCGTGGTAGTGCGAGCCGCGGTCGCGAGATCCTGGCGTGGATGTCGGTATCCCGACTCGTCGCCCCGGTCGCGAGGACACGCTGGGCCGCGACGCGGGCGTTATTATGAGGGGGGCGGCGACGCCCGCGGCCAACGTGACGAGGCGCCGTAGCGTCTGGATCCGGCTGGCGAGGATCGCCCGGAAGGGCGGGAGACACGAGGCCTGGATCATGGAGGCCATCAGGGGACTCTACTGCCTCTTCGAAGTGAGTTCCCACGGCACTCGGGCTGCTTCATTCGCTATAATTCGCTTTGTCGTGCCGAGGCTCGCCGAGGCCCACGTCTCTTCCTTTTTTAACTTGGCCGCTTAGCGGCACGGGCCCCTGCAAATCATTTACTTCACTTGGCCGGTTTTACTTGTCCGAGTTGTAAATGGGACTTGCGCGCGGGTCCCGCCTTTAGCAGACATCGCGCAAGCTTCTTTACGGGCTTCGAGAATTTGGCGCGGTCATTGGTGGTGAGGGGTGGGGTGGGGTGGGGTGTATGCCGCGTCGTCACGTAGCCTGGCCACGGACATGCTGTACGAGCGGTACAGGACAAACGCTGACGCGCGCACGGGGAAGAGGATGCGATGTGATGGGAAGCCGAAATGTCGATGGCCAGTGGATGTGGTAGAGGCAGGTGACGGGTAGACGATGATTGTCGTTGGTTCTTTAATGTAATTTCGCGCTGTTGTAGTTGCGAGACTGAAGGGACATTGTTTTAGTGAAAACAAAGTCGAATGTCGAGGATGAAGCTGCGCCGACGTGCTTATGATCGTAATCGAGAGATCTCATTTTAATGATACCTCTTATGTATTTTAATTTCCGATTTAACGAGCTTCGATTTAATGATTACTTACGCGCGCACGTACACCTACGCATCCGAGCCACGAGAACGCAGGCACGCGCGCACCTACACGCGCACATACGCACACATATTTAATATTATTCATAGGATTTGGATTATTGGATCATGATAGATTGGAATAGCGCAGGCAATGATTAGACTGAAGCAAGATATGTATTTGATAATGACGCATTACCTAATGATACAAGAGATAAATATAAAATAACATTGATTATTTGATATATTTAGTATTATTAAAATTATCTATGAATATTTCATTAAACTTTCGAACAAATTTATAATTCAGTTTTGTTACTTGGGTTGTTATTACTTGGAGTTGATCAATTAGAAATTAGGAGCTTGCTGATATTCTTTATATTATTATTATTATTATTATAATTATTATTGCGTTTATTTATTTTTTTCGATTTTTCAATTAGTTAAGTAAGCGTAAGAATTATTTTAAAAGTTTAGAAAGTTTAATTAATTTTATCGTGTAATAATAAAATATTTAAATTAAGCTTAAATTGAATAGAAAATTCTGTCGTGAGAGTAAGTTACAAAGTTGAGCTTCTACGCGTGAATAATTAACCGGAAGCGACTAAGTTCTATCCCCAGCTGCTCTTCTCAATATTAATTATAAAATAAATTATTTTCTTACAATTATTAGTTCACTTAATGGTTTTCATTTCATTTTCATTTATCAATAATTCAAGGGAGCTCAGTTTAATAATTATTATACATTTTACCTGTAAAAACATTGTCTTTATCGCGTTAAAGTTTTCAACCGTAAATCCTTCTAGTCCTTTATATTGTGGACAAGACGTTAATTTAATCTCAGTTATCGATGCTTAATGCTATTAATATTTTACAATATTCCAGCGATTTAATGAAATTTACGAGCATTAACGGGTGAGTTGTTCGAACCTTTTTAAAATTAAATATAAATGATTTTCTTTTATTCTTCATTAAGTGAATGTAAAATGCGCAAATTATCCTTTTAATAGCAATTACGTGTTCAACGTGGAAAAATATTCTTTCGCACGCGTACCTACACAATCATGAATTTTCATTTCGTCGAATGAATATTATTTATCAATCGCAGATTTATCAATTCTTTAGACTCATTATCATTCTTATTATTCTTATTTTTCAGAAGCCATGCAATCTGTAAAATGTATGTTTCCTGTCTATATTCTCAAATAAAATCTATGGCATTTCCAATTTCGTTGCGAATTTTAATCACGTTCAAATATCTATAAAATTTATGCAAATAATATGCTAAAATTTTGGCATCGACTCGTGTATACGCAAACATCGTATGCAGGATGTCCCATTTTAAATAATACTCTTACGTAACGAGGCAGAAAGGAATTTTTGTTAAGCAAAAAATATTTCGTTATATAGAATCTGATAGACTGAATGATAGATGCCTGTGCTAAGTTTTGTGATCAATGGACATTCGTCGATATTTTATTATATAATTACGTAGGTATAATATTGTAATTTCGTCGATCATTCAGCACAAAGTCATTGGAAAATAAATTCAAAAAAATAATAAATCGAATAGATAAGCGATCGAGATAAACAAGGTATTTATTGAGTTATAAAAGAGCTTTATTGCAAAATAATTAATAGTTTTGAAAAAAGTTTATTCGTATCTGATTTCTTTATTCTCACTCCATCGTGAATCTGAGTTAATAAGAGAACTATCGCCCGTATCATAAAGATTTTATTAAAGAAAAACGGCAAACTACCAATGACTAGTTACTATAAAAGTTTTATATCTCTTATTCATTTATTTCGAATACTTTGAAATATTATTGAATTCGATATTTTTTCTTTTCTTTCTTTTTTTTCATTCCTTTTGAAGTCCTGGGACTGAATGGGTCTTAAATAGGTTGGCTACTCGAAATCGTAATTTAATCAATCCCTTCAAAATCAAAGTCATCCTGCCTAATATTAAAAATTCTTATTAGTTCCCTAATCTTACTCTCTCTCTCTCTCTCTCTCTCTCTGTCTTTGTCTCTGTCTCTCTCTTTTCTTTTTTATTTAATATCACGGTCTTTAATTCATACCAAATTAAATTAGTATTTTCGATATTGATTAATACCAAGTTATTTTCATAGGAGACATTTTCAATAATATGCGCTTTAATGAATTATTAACGATAATAGGAGTTCTTTGTTTTGAAGAGTAAAATCCGATATCAGAATGAGCTATTTTAATAAGAAAATATGAATATGTAATTTCTAGCAGTTCGATAAAAAAGGAAACGGAATGGAAATATAATGTACTATTTGCAAATAACAATTTACATGATAATGGAACTGGCTTATATTCAATTATTTGAGTGTATTATTTGCAATAAATTATATCTCATTACGCTATATTTGTCTATGCTATTATTGTTAAATAGATATGTTATGTAGAAATGTTTTGTTATAATCTTATATTTCTGTTTGTAAAACTGTTGCTTTCCATAATATTGATAAGTTAACTTTTTCATGGAAAAAGGAATTGTATTATAGTCGTAAATATTTTTTAATGAATATTTTTGAACGAAATATGAAATATTTTTATTTAATTTTTCATTTGAATAAATATTATTTTTTTTTTCTGGTATAATTTTGCATATGCAATTCTATATAAATTACATTTTTTCATGTAAATTGTAATTTGTAATTAATTGCATTTTGAAATTAATGATCAATGATGAAAACATGTGTATTTACTATTTCTTTATATATTATGTATGGTTTATTAGCTGACCGATAATCAATAAGATTATATATGTATATAAATTATTAATGCTTTAGTTATTATTTCAAATATAATAAAATTAATTTAATTTCATAAATAATAAGAAGAATTGGTAAAGAATTGGTAAGGCTTTGAATTGTGTAGTTTTTTTGTTTGTTTTTGCTTTTTTTTCACATATAAGTATCATAAGTAGTATTTATTATTGTTTATGTATTATAATTTTGAATATATCATAATTATACAAAATTAATATGTTAAACAAAACATTAGATGTCAATTTCTCTACAATTGCATCATTATTAAATTTCTTCGTATATTATCTAGCATTTTGTAATTCATTATCGTTTCCTTTACTTCTCAAACGATACTTTATATTCTTTAAGTTTTATGATTTGAAAACTTCAAACTCCTTGAAACAATTGAAATTCTCATATTTTAATTTGATAGAAGAATTCTGCAAGATATCATGACGATCATCAAACTACATAGAATATCTAAATATATGTTGATTACGGTATATTCCGAGATTTTCAGCTACGCTTACTAAACGTGTAAGCAAGAGTGAAATTTTCATATTTTAATAGCTAATCTATGCCATAAAAACATTAGCTACGTAGCTTTTGTAATAATTGTTGACCGTGAGTAAAATGGATAAGTATTGGCGAAATTCTTAAAATATAATTGAATTAGTAATTATTATATTTAAATAATGCATGAGACGTGTAGTTATTTCAAAAATTCCAATGGCACACGCGTCACTACCGTCTTGCATTAATTTTATGTTATTTTATGCCGTTTCAAGTTTGAGATTAGCTTAGTTTCTACAACAACAATAACAAAATTCATAGTAATAATAATAATAATAATAATAATAATAATAGAGCGAGTAGAGTTTACTTTATGTATAAAAATCGAGAGTTTACGACGACGTGTTGAGTATGCGAATTACATAAAGTATGGATGGGGAGGTAAATTTTGAATAATATTTGTCCTGACAATTGTAACGAAAGATTGGATTATTTCTTGTTCGGAATACTTTTGCATTATTAAGTGAATAATACAACGAATAAATTGAAATGAGTTCTGTAAAGTACCGCGCCGAGCTTATAATCCCATCACTTAACGAGGAAGAAACAATTGCGGGAAATGAATTGGACATTCTTATTTTCTTATACGAAGATTAGGTATTTCGTAATGTATTAGGGGCGAATCACGTGCCCACTGTATCTATGGCAAATCCAATGGATAATCAATGAATAGAGGAGTCGTTAAAACTGCACATAAGTAGAAATATAGAAATAAATGTAAAAGATAAATAATTGAGCTGCGGTCTGCGAGTATGAGATTGAATTTAGTGAAAGGCAAAGACTCAATTTTCACCGCACCAATTCACCATTATTACGGCCTGTATTTTCATTATCCTTTATGTATTCTTCATTTAGGTAAGCAAAGTACAGAACGACAACTTCGTGTCGAGGCTCCACGTGCTCACGACCGTTATGCTGCTGACATTTTCCGCAATGGTCTCGACCAAGCAGTCGGTCGGCAATCCCATCGACTGCATCCACTCGAGGTGATATTACCATTTCTATACGATAATCATTGCTACGCTTAACCTTTTCTCCTTATCCGCCCTTGCATAGCCTGCATTGCGCGCAACTTTGTTTGGTTTATCGAACGTGCGCAATCCTTCTCTTTATCATCCGTCTCTTTATCCTTAAGCCCTATAAATATTAAAGTGACGCAGTGACGAGCGTTATAACAATACCGCATTTGTTGCTTCGGTTTTCCTTTATAATTGTTCGTATGCCATTGTTCGTAATTTGAATAATAATTTACTTAGCAGTCACATACGCGGGTGGGGGGGGGGTGGATTTATTTTTCAATTAAATTATTGCTTTATGGCTATGAACCGTTAGATACATAACTTTTATAATAAATTATAAAAATTCAATTTCCACTTGGGAGCAAAATTTAAAAGGTAAAAGAAAATTGCACACTTTTCATTAATTTTCAAAATTATCAATCGACAGTTCGTAGCGATATGGGTTTAGAAACATTATTTGTACAGATATCTTCGTAATTGTAATTTTATTTTACTAGAAATATACAATACCGACGATATAAATAAATGATAATTTTTTTTTTTTTTTTAAACCTGAAGCAGCTTAATAATACTAAATTTGTAGTTTGTCAAACGCGAATGTAAGTTATTAATTGCCGATGAGTGAATAAGGTGATACATACACATACGTTTGGATTATCTAATTGACAAAATGGAATGGAATTGAATAAAATGCAAATAATGTATTTAAAAAACTGTCGCAGCCGAATGAATCTTGAAAATAAATTTATTAAAATAGGTTTGTGCGTATCTTCGGAGTAATTTCAACGTATTTAAATAATGCTTCTTACAATTTTTATCTCTCCATAGTTTTCTTTCACCGGTAAAATTAAATCAGCACACTCACTAATGACTGACATAGACGAAAAGTATTGCATCGCAATAATTGGAATATTGCAATTAAAAGAGACTCATAATTTACAAATATTTATACGCTTATTTAAACTATCACGTAGATCTTAAAGTTGCGAGTGAAATCGAAATAAAAATATACAAATTGTTTTTTTCTCTTCCCCTTCTCGTACTCATTAAATTTGACGTATTAAATTTACGAAGCCTGTCAATATTTCACAATTAAAAAACGATTTTTCTAACCATTTTCTTTATCCCCATATTAAACTAACAACAAAATTCAATAAATTTTTTTGCCAATGTCACTGTATGATGCTTCGCTATTTCATGATAAAATCATTTTAAATCGATTCTATATGATATTCTCGAGTCAAGTTATTTGTATTTTAGTCTTTACGGTGAACTCGAGACTTTAAAATTTATCAACTGGCCTGCTTTGAGATATTTGACTTGTGCGTCGATTTCGACTTCATCAATTTCCAAATACATTTATTAAACAATATAGAAGCGTAATAAATACAATATCTATTCCGTACTTATTTACTCGCTCAGTATCACCTTTATTCAATACTTAAAACGGCTATCCAGACCCATATATATATATATATATATATATATATATAAATATACATCATGTGTATGAATAAAAATGCACATAAGACATGTCGACGTTGGTTTTTTAATGAATTTCTAATCCGTACTAGAGACGAAGAAAAGCGTCAGTTAGCGTATTATCCATAAGGCCAAGGCTTTTCTCGAATCCCCGTGACTTTATGGGCCCGGAGCAATTAAAGCATACAATTCGTACATTACAACTTTGGATAAGTGCTTTTCAGCCCGAGATTGCTTAGGGCATGTCATATGCTACTCAATATTAATAATACTTTCGCGTACCTAGCACTTTACAACACACTTAACATAAAGATTGGTATCGCGTCGGGAAGCCGAGCTCCTCGACTCCCCCGTTGGACAAGGACGCGAAAACGACCTGCAGCGTGACTTGCAGCGTCGGCATCCTCGCCACGGGATTTGAAAGTCGTCTCGCGAATCCGGGACGAGGGAATGGATCGCGATTAGATTGAATTTTGGTGGTTGTTGGTGGGGTTTCGATGATTGGGGGGGGGGGGGGAGGAGAGGAGAGGAGAGGAGAGGAGAGGAGAGGTCGACCTTACGTTGGGCTAATATGGTCAAAACCCTGACGTTACAGAGACATACCGGCGGAGGCGTTCAATGCTTACTGCTGGATACACAGCACGTACTTTGTGAAGGGTGCGATGCTCGGCGTCGCCGGGGTGAACATAGCGTTCCCGGGGGTCGGGACGATCGTCCTTTATCAGCAACGACAGCAGACGGAAAGTCGACGAGCGACGGACGGCTTGACGAGGCAGGTCAAGTATTACCAGTGGGTGCCGTTTGTCCTCGTCTTCCAGGTTAGTTATCCTCCTCTCCCGAGTCACGCGCGCAAGCTCTTTCTCATTTACTATATTTATTTTTCTCTATGGAAGCTCCAATTCCTGCGTGACTCGCATTGCGATTGCGGACTCGGGAATTTGCATTGGCTAGTGAGGCGCGGAGACACGGTGGTGCGCTGGTGCATTCATGGTACTCTCATTGCCAGTGCAAATATTGTATTATTACAATTTCAATTTTTTCCCCCGCATTTTGTATAAGCCTGCATTGAATTACTTATCCGAGAAGAAGCTTGTATTACTCGTTTCCTCTGGCAATCATAAACGACATGCAAATGATTGTCTTTTTTTTTTACTTTTACCATTTATGGCTACGAGTAATTATGTTTCGTTGCAATGGAAAATTAATGGCGTAGTAATTTTTACATTAATATCTCGATATTGTTACGGTAGAACCTGAGAAATATCACCAATGCAAAAGTATTTATTTACAAAATTGGTTCCGAAGCGACAGTCAAAGAGTTTTTTTTTTTTTTTTATCACCCCTTGAAAATGAGTCAAATTCTGATTGCATCTGTTGGAATGATTGTTGAAGAGATATTTTCCAATTTAGATAGCATTTTAAAATAATGTATTTCAGTAAATTGCTACATAAGTTTATGCTACGTGCTTATAACGAGTCATAAATGCATAATTATAATAAATACAAAGTATGAATATATATTTCAAAATATTATTTATTATATAAATTTAGAGTCGGTTACACGTTCGATAAATAATATTATTGGACGTAATTGAAATTTTCATACATTTGAAAACAGTGAATAGTTAATACTCGTGCTCGCATTAAGTATTTTTACTCTTATGATGAGTATGTGCTCGATCATATATATTCGTAATGATTAATGAGAAAGTTCTTTTACGAGTATCGAGTGCCGAGTATTATAGACTGAAATTTGCTTAAATATGGATTTTCAATATTAATATTTTTCACACAAACGGCAAAACAAAAACTGAAAACAATAATTTCATGAAAATATATCACTATCAAAATATTTTCACGTTTTTGAAGTAAAATAATATTTACGTATTAAATAATGCATGAGTTAAAGTTAAAGTATACACGGTTGCAGATTTTTATTTGAAAGAACTTTCATAATGCTAATTAGTAAGGTTTATGTGGTTTGTACATTAGCTTGTGTATAAACGAATATTTTTACAATTTGCGTTTCGAATGATAAGTCTTAAACTATATAGTCAAGAATATTTTTTTTAAAAAGGTTAAAGAGAAAATCACCAAACCATTCTAAAAGTAATTGCTTTGTTGATAGCGAACATGCAAGTCAGCTTTCTTATAGAATAAACGAGATTATATATGATAGGCGTTTGATATTATAATTATCGATATATTAGAAGTTTAGTGAAAAATTTTCATAGACATTAAGAGATGTTAAATTCCGATTGTTACATCGTATTCGAATTCTTTACAAATACATTCGCTCAATATTATATTAATAAAAGTAATTAAATCTTCACTCTAATGCTGCATTAATTTAGCCTTGACCCATACACATTGACAAGAATGATTAAGAATTATGCGAAACTTACAATCGATTTTTTATGTTAATCCCATTGCAATTTAATGCTTTCCAAAGCATTAACATGTTTCAACAGCAGAAGAATGCAACAATAATTTTAAATTTTAATTCGTACTTTCCCGTAGGGAATCATCAGTCAAGCTGCCGCCGGCGCACTCTCTCGAAAGTTTTTTGAACTCTCTCGGCCCGCGCACTTTTCGACTATCGATGCAACCTTTCATTTATCTATCATTGCTCCTATGTATTTATTATTTATAATATCATTGATTAAAAAATATTTTATAATTCCCAGGTAAGTGGTACATTTTAAGTATATATTTATAATAAATACGATAATGCTGAACAATAATGTTCATTTTTTTTTTTTAATAATTTTGAATTATTAATCTTGTTCCACGAACATGATCTTTATTCATATTTCATTTACTTGAAATGCCAAGGCGTACTGAAGTAAGGAGAGTGTCAGTGAAGAAAAAAAGAAACTTAATATGTGACGTAGAGTCATTTATGTTAAATTACACACACACACACACACACACACACACACACACTCACACACACACATATATATATATTTGCATGTGCATGATTGTGAATTGTTACTAAGTTAAATAATAGCGCTACGTATCTTATTTACATTTAATGAAATAATTATCGACTGTAATTTATTTATTTATTTATGCATTCATACAGTCTTTTAATATCTACAATAATAACTCATTTCAACGTATTAAATAAACTAAGACATTGATATATATATATATATATATATATATATATATATATATTTAATAATAAAATATTAATATTTAATTATTATATAATATTAATATTAATATATAATATTAATCTTTAATAAAATATATATATATTTTGTTAAAGAATAATTCCAAAGTTACTTAATTACTATTTTATGATAAATTAAATGAAATGCCAAGTAAAATGTTGAGAGATTTTAAAATTTGAAAACCACTGGTATATTTAGTTGCCTATATTTATACATTCAAATATTCGAATGAACTGAAACTTGATAGAAAATTGTTATTCTTCGTAATTAATTATAAATATGTCACATTATTATCACATTATAATGCATTAGAGTTCCAGTCTTTGTATTGAAAAAAAAAGAAGATTATATTAACAATTAAGTTTTCCTAATCATACGCATTATTAAACGTAGTATATCATTTTATTATTAATATTAAATTTAAATTTATTAGCTAATGTCTCATTAATTTCATTTCAAAATTATCAAGATTTATTTGTTTTATAATTTAGAATTAACTATAATACCTTTACGGTCGATGGCACTATCTTATTAAGAATTGAACTGATTACTGGACTTATTAAATGAATATTTTATTACATTACAAAAGAAATGTATAATATTTTACAATTTAATGACTCATCTCAAGAGAAAATTATAATAAGTTAAGTGTTAATTTTTGTTAAAAAAATTTCTCCAGAATGCCGCAAATGGCTAACATTCCAGGTTGAAATTATCATTTTTGATTGTATTTTATTGTTGGTAAATTCCATTGCAGAGAGTTCTCACAGAGTTCGAATTCTTTTTAATTCATCAGACCCTTATTATGGACAATAATTAATAATAAAGTCTGTTATTTTCAGTATGATTACATTTTATTAATTTTAATTTATTAGCCTCAATATTTATAAGAATTTTCAACTGGCAACGCTTTAAGTTAAGTGATATTTCATAATAATGTTAACGACTTTATACGATTTACCGTTACATTAATATTTTTAACAATTTTTCAATATTTCAACAAAAAAAAAAAAAAAAAAAAAAAAAAAAATCAATTGTAGTAATAGAGGAAGATTCGATTGATTAAACAAATACAAAAAGATATCCGTTTATTAATTGATATTGTCAATTTTAATTATAATAATTGATAATAATTGATTTGATGAAAACATTACATGACACTATTATTTTCTTCTAACCATTTTTTTTCTTATATTTTAATTTTCTTTTTTTATTCTCCATAGTCAATTACAGTAGTATGTAGTAAGTAATATGAATAATTGTTATTCCATATATAAATTTTACATTTTTTTTGTATTTTTACATAAATTCGTGAGAAACACGTATTTCAGAATTACAAATGTTAAAAAGTTTTTTTTTTTTTTTTTACCTATTATACGTTCGATAGATTTATAGGTTCTAAAAATTATTTCATTTCTATGTAAAATTGCCCTAGTGCGATTTTAAATATTTTAATTAGCTTATTTTATAATAAAAACCGGAATTTTAATAGCTTTGTAATAAAAGAAAAATATACAATCAATAGAATACATAATCACACAATCAATATATAATGCCAATATAAACCTTTTTCCATTTAATTATTATATTTTAGTTTTATCGTACTTCCAGTGTTTATTATAATAATACGTTATGTACATTTATTTACCTTATTAAAGATTTTATTAAATACTGTAATATCGGATTCTTTATAATCCAATTATAAATGTTTGTGAAAAATATAGCTAATTATTTCTTTATTATTTTCTAGCCTTTCCATTCCTTTATGGTAATTTATTATTAAACGTGCCATATTTTTAGTAAGAGTTTTCAAATATCACATAATAATAAATGTACATTATCAATAGAAGTTATCCTGTGAGCTTTATTATTTAATTAAACTCAATCGAATATATTTTTATAAAAATCTTATAACATATTCTTTGATTAAGTTCAATCAGCTGTATGACGGAGTTTTGCCGTCATTCCTCTAACTTGTGATCCTGAAGAGTTGATCAATTCCACTCTACTAATACTCAATAATAATTGCTTTTAAGATTGTTTTTGAATAATTTAATCGATATTTTATTGACGACTATTTTAAGTAATTTGGAAAAAAAAATTTACCCTCTCTATTACCTATATTATACGAATGATATAAATTTTTTAATACTACATTCTAACTGGAAAAATCGTGTATTGTTTATTGGAAATTTAATAGGCAAAAATGTAAAAGTTTCATTAACAACGAGCATTGTTCTATAATTATTTCAAATATGTCAATAATTTAAGAAATTTTGATTAATTTTCAATTGCAGTACAATTCAATTGCAATAACTAATCCATAAGATAATTTGTTCAATTAAGCTTTATTTATTTTATGTTATGTTAAGTTATACAGTTATTTAATATATTTATTAGCCTGTTTATGGATATTTAGTAATTTATCAAACGTTATCTTTAAATTAAATCGTCTATTCCTACTAGACATCACCTTTGATTTAGTTTGCTACCGAAGTCACATCGTAATTACATTATTTCAAATGTATTCTGTATACTTATTATTATTTAATGGTTCCTGATTTTTTGCATTTTTGATTTTAACTTTGTAAAATTTATGAGATAAAAGAAACGTCGGTAATGTCGATATTAAATTACATTTATGTATACTTAGTTTTAGATTTATTATGCAAATTGTAAAGAAGTTCTCGACGTTGTGCAGTAGAAGTCCTTTCTATGCGATATATATATATATATTTTTTTTTTTTTTTTTTTTGAGAACTTGTTTATGAATTCAAATTTAATAAAAATTTGCTAACGTTAAACACGAACGGCACATGATAGAATGAGAGAAAAGCATTAATATAGTATGAATTAGTAAGGAGAGATCCGTTAGCTATGATAAGAATAATGGAATCAGCTACTTTAGCATCATTGACTCAAATCAAGTATTCGTACTATCTAAGTCCGTCGAGATGACGTATATCACCTTATAAAAGTTTTTTGATCTCAAGCTGATATAATAGTATGAAATCTGGTATTTTAATGTGACGTCTATTTTTCTAGGACTTCTAAGACTATGACAAATCATAATTATAATATGTATATATATTAAAGAGAGTATGAAGTAATATTAAACAAAGAGACATTTAACATTCTCGGAGATTAAGTCAGATGTCAGTTATGAGTTTTTTTTAGAATATTTGATAGAATGAAATTAAAAGTTCACTGTGAGAAACTGTTCTTTCGAGATAAATATATATTATGTAAAAAATATCTTCGATACGTCTATTTTCTATTCAATCGGAGCAAACCGAAGAAATGTCTCTTTATTAGGATTCGTGTTATAAGAACAGAAAAATACTCTAATAAATTATGTGTAAAAGGCATATGTAAGTAGAGTTTAGGTGCATGAACATTGCTTTTACAAGTTACATTCCATTTATGAGATTATGTTCATATGAAATAATTTTGACGATTAATAGAAAATATATTTCTACGCATTAAGAACAAACCCATACGCATATAGTGCTCTCATTTATATATTATGGAAGAAAATTCATAATAATAGTAATTTCAATCCTTTTCTGTTACGCACATTTATATCATAAAATCTATGTAAAGATGAACGTACGGGTTTGGATGCTTATTAGATTTGTGTGTGTGTGTGTGTGTGTGTGTGTGTGATAAAATCGTGATTCTTGATTAATGCATAGATTATTTTCACGAAAATTACTCGCGTTCATTGTTTAGATATACAGCAAATCTGTAATCATTGGCTTTACTTCATTTATGTGATGTTATTATTATTTTTTTTTTTCTCTCAGAAAGAGATTTTATTATTTAAATGACGCAGTTACAAATTTATATCTACTCATCATCGTAACAACAATAGTATTATATATTAACTCGGTGTTTGTGTGCGGTCAATTTTCTTGAATTCTTGGAGAAAGTAACAAGATAATATTAGAGTACGGAAGTGCATCGAGTTTGCTCAAGCTAAGAACTAGTCCACATTTAGATATTGTATTCACTTCATAATAGCCCATCCGTTGTTTTTATAAAAGGATATAAATAATTCCACAAACTTATTATTACGAATTGCATTATTAATCTTTAATGACCGGTTGCTTTTAAATTTATGAGTACTAGCCTTTTTCTTTTCTTTTTTCTTATATGATTCGTCTTATACGCAAACAGTCGTTTAAATTTCATTCACCACTGTCTTCCAATAATTCATCAAATGAAAATCATTTTCTTAATTATTTTCCTACTGTTAGTGCGAAAATACGCTGCGCACCTACGTATCACATTTCTGATTAATTCAACGAGATTTATCTGAAATACAATATTCTTACTAACCTGATTCGATTAACAAATATTCAACTATGAGAACGTGGCAATTATATTAAAATATTACACAAATAGTTTTGCGAAAGCTTCGTAAGTATTTTTTCTCGCAATTACTTATGCATTTATTATACACGAGCATAAAATTACTTAAAAGAATTTTTTTTTTTTTTTATGTATATATATTATTACGATATTATATTTAAATCGTAAAATTATGAGATAAAGTTTGGTAATTTTGCCGTAGTCATCCATATTATTTTAAAATATAAAATATAGTTGAATATTTATGGTTATCGGTTCGTATTTTTAGATTAGGGATTTTCCCATTATTATTTCCTTTTATTCAAGTGTTTTAATGATATCGGTAGAAAATTTTTTTTGATTTATTTATTTATTTTTGTTTTTTTGTTTTTTATTTTGTCTTTCCAAAGCAAAGTTTACTTTTCAACTTAACGTCGTCATTTCACGTACATTATATTGCCTCTCGAGTATTTTGAATAATATTTTAAAATTGAATTTTTTATAATAGTATGTAACGGGTTAACCACATAAACAATTCAAAAATTCTATTTTGTAAAAGAGAATAACATATTTCTCTGATGTATGAAAGCCTATGAGCCTAAGTCCGACTGTTTCTAGTAATAACTAGTAAGCGTGAATAAACAACAATCAGGTCTGATACACCGTTGTAATTCAGGCGTGGAATGAACAATGGAATAAGTTATCGACCTACCTTTACGTACATTTCCATTATCCTGAGCTTTATTTAAGGTGCTACAAATGAACTCGTATAAATTTATTTATCAAATTAAGCACTAATAAAATACCAGTATAACAACCCTCATCGGATACGCCTTCTGTGAATAATAATAACTCGCGCCTCTTTCGTCGCACATATTCCCGTAAATTGGCCGATGTCCTTGATTGTCCAATAACTGAAATGTAGTCTCTCGAGCTGATTTTTTTTTTTTTTTAATCCTTTTCACCTGGCGCTTCTCGTCACAACAATCAACGCTAACTTATGGCTTACTACGCTGGATATGTTGCCAAGCCGACTCCTACGTTCCCCCACAAAAGCGCAGGATAGAGAGACAATAACCCCGAGAGTACAAGGAGTTTTGCTCGAGATGATCATTCATCACTCGGCGTGTGGCTTGGCGCTTCAGGAAAGAGATTCACGAAAGAGAAGGACGACAAATGCTGATTGAAATTTACAGTCGCTTGGCTCTTCAAATGAGTTTTGATAGTATCGAAGCACCAATATTGCTTTATCGAAATTTGTCGTTTGCAAGTGCTTGTAACCTTCTTTTTTTTTTTTTTTTTTTTTTTTTTTTTTTTTTTTTTTTTTTTTTTGTATTTTGGATTTGCCAACACTGCGTCATGGATTTTAGATATGGGAGATATATTTTTATTATATTAAGCTCGCGTGAGATTGGAATCTCGGAATTATTGGGAGATATTTTTCGTTGCTATTGTTGGCATTTGCAAATAAAACGAAGCGCTCACGTTCGTTCGAAGAATAAAAAATTGCATTATTTAATAAAATGCTAAGGTTTATTACTTGGGGTATATAAATCTGGAAGAAGAGAAAAATTGAAAGTAAATATAAAATAGGCTGTAATTATAGATTGCTGAAAATTTTAATTAATCGTCGCATATTCGCGGTAGTTTCAACTTTACCGTTCTCGCGAAATTAATCAAAACCATTAGCTTATCAGTAACAATAAGGGTTCTGTTATTTTCCAATCTTCAATGATTCCTAGCTACATTGGAAAGACTCTTAACATTGTTAGAGCGCACTTCAGGTGTTACTGCGAGATATTTAAATAAAGTCATATTTTTCAAGCGCGTATCATAAAAATCTTACGTCAAAAATATCGAGCTTGTGCATATTTTTTAAACCGCTATTTTTGACGCGTCTTTTTATTTCTCTACTCATTTTATATTTATACAGACCTTTGAATGATACGTGTAAAATACGTGTATTTTAAGAGTGCAATTTTGAAGTTTATTACGTAAAAAGCAGGTCACACAATAACCGCCTGCAGGTCCGAGGCTGGGAATTTCTCAAGATGCCTTTTCCTTTTCGTCCATGAAAACGAAGAGAAAAAGAGGACGGGGAGGAGGAGGAGGAGGAGGAGGAGGAGGAGGAGGAGGATGAGCAGGAGGAGAATAAGGTGGAAGAGATACAAAGCAAGAAGTAAGAGGAGGTGGTTGAGGTTGTGGTGGAAGCGTGGGAGGACGAGGGACGGCAGCTGGAGAAAAATCATGAGGGAATTCGAATGAAACGCATAGCGCCGAGGAGTTGGCTGCTCACGCGGGACAACGAAAAATCGCAATGCCACGGCCGCCGGCATTTGAATAAGCATTGAAATCCGCGAAAAAAGCGTCCCGCGCGCGAGGTGAGAGACGCGCGGCTCCAGGAGCGTATCTCCGGGATAAAAAGGCCGAGTTTACGACGGGCAGCTCGGCTCGGCAAGGGCGAGCGTAAAACGGGAATTTATGGGCGACCGACACCGCGGAGCCAAAAATATATTGACAGTTTACGAGGCGGGCGGCCGGGAGAGGGGGGGTGGTGGTGGTGGTGGTGGTGGTGGTGGTGGTGGTGGTAGTGGCGGACTGAGAAAGCACCTTATTCATTTTGCGCCTTTATGGCGTATTGCCTTTTTGATTTGTTGATAGTTATTTATCCGTGCCGCGCGGGAGAGTTTCGGCGGGCAATGGCCGCGAGCTCGTTACCACTGGACTCAGGTGATTTAGGGTCCTTTTCTTTCGCCTACCTCGACGGTCATCCCCGCGCTTCTAACTCCCAAGTTGCTTTCTCTGCCGCGTAATTATGCGACTGTCGACGCCCTTTTTCCCGGCTCGATGGAAAAGTTCTCTCGCGCGATATTACGGGCCTCGTGCAAAACTCATTGGGCCTTATGGGCCCCCGTTTTTAATGGCGGGTCTCGATGCTGCCTGTGCCGGGGTTGCGTGAAAAATTTTACTCCTCGATGTGCTGACTTTGAAGAAACAGAGCCTTAGTCGTTAGTCAACGACTCTTTGAGAATTTCCGGTTTACTCGTTCGGCTTATATAGTGCGATGTAAATCATTTGGATGCAATGCAATTATAAAAAAAAATTTCGATTATTATCGTGTCATATCGTGGAATATTATAATATTTTGTGCTTCGCGAATAATATAATTCTATTGTTGGACTTTAATATTATAGACGTAGATAGGAATTCGAAAAATTGCGAGTTTACATTTTAAGCAGTAAATGCTTTCTTGTTATTTCTTAATGCATCTCTTGTCTAATAAATTAGTTTGTTAAAGTAAATTTTCTAATCGAAATAAATAGTATGTATTTCGTAAATCAAAATTTGCTTTAGAAATTCTTTGCTTGTAAAATTGAAACATCAAAAGTTTGTTTATTGTATTCATTACATAGAATAATAAGTCGAGTGATTATTTTCAAAATAATTTCATTCGTGCTATCAGTGTTAATAAAAAAAAAAGACAATGAAAAATAATAATGAAAAATATTTTATTCATTTTAATGCCAAATTGTATTATTATTATTATTGTTGTTGTTGTTGTTGTTGTTGTTATTGATATTGTCGTGTTGTTGTTGTTGTTGTTGTTGTTGTTGTTATTGTCGTTGTTGTTGTTGTTGTTGTTGTTGTTGTTGTTGTTGTTATATCGACTGTTATATATATTTTTTCATTGTACCAAACAT